GGCGTTTTATTCAACGGCTTTGGGTGGTGACCTGAAGACAAACCATTTTACTCTTCAGCCTGAGCAATTAGGAAGTAACATACCATCACAACCTATGGACATCCGATACGCTGAGACACTATAATTTGCAAAATAGTAGATGCACATATGATATAAAATTGAATCCGGGGTGTTTAAATGTACTTGGTCTGAAAGAACTGGAGTCCACTTTCGAATTCGAATTGGACAGCAACCNCCAGGAAGAACGATACGGCAAGTTCAGCTTTCATTAAGAGGTCTAGGCAAGTGTCACAGATTACTGGACAGTTTGGTTTCGTTAAAAACACTTACCGCTGCGTTTTTGAGAAATGCCACGATAAGGCAGAACAAATTTCGGTTTTGCTTTTTTCTTACTCGTCACGGAGAAAATACGCCGCAGATCCCACATTTTGATCGAACTAAGACAATGCAAATAATGGAAGTGAAGATGCAGTTGTGGAACTCTTAGTTCACAAAAGCGGCTGCATGAGCTATGTACTTTCAGCCATATGATCGAATGAACTGTTTAAATAAATCAATAATGCATTAGGGTGATCAGAAACAAGCAGAGCAGTTTCATCTGATAACAAAGAGAACAAACACGATAACTGTAAAACGAAAATTGAAAAATACGGTTCACATTCATATGTCTTATCGTTTTCTCTTCCGTTTTTATTTATTGAATATACAAATGTACGGTCAACATTCAGGAAGGGAACGGCGGCTATACAAAGGCTGTCTGGGAAAGTACAGAAATATGAAAGATGGGCGGCGGTGGAGCAGCTCGAGCCCGGGACACCCCAGGTCACAAGTTGGTGCCCTAACCACCTATCCACCACCGTCCATGTGTGATAAAACAAGAAGTATACCCATGTCCACGAGAGACACAAGTGTAAGGAGAGATGCTATCATTATGGAGAGTGTAAAGGTGGCGTATTCAATTACACACTCTCGAGTGCAAATTCAAGCCGCCGTAATTGAAATGAAATGGAAAAAAATAGATGAGATACACAAGATGGAAAACCTGAAAGCGTTATTCGAGCATAATTGACATCAGTACATACTGAACTACGCAACTTGGTATAACACAAACGTCGCACCAGACTTCCGAAACTAATGAAAATTTTCAGGAATATGAAACCAATCTTCATGGCCTTTGATGCCAAGAGAACTCTTATACTACTATCTCACTTCTAAGTAGTTAAACAACAGAATCAGAATAGTTTGTAAGATTGAACAATCGTAGACCTGATCCCTAAGCATCCACACAACCTTACTATAAATCCAAGGTTAATCATTTTATATCACAATGTGCACGACAAAGAACATATACGTAAAACGCTAGATAAGTTCGTTTTGAGAAACACTTACTTGAACGATCAATATGGGCCACCAAAGGTGGACTCAGCCGTTTCTGATTAAAATTGCAGGAAGTTCATACGTGGAATATCCACAGGACAGGAGGCTATTTCGAAAAACGCGTGATTCTGTATGCAGACACTTAATAAATATTCCCGGATCCCTCATTCACTCCGATGAATAGACAGCCTACAGGACGATGTGATAAACCCACAGGGAACCATCCATATAGGCTTATCACTGAAGTTAAGGGCACACACACTTAAAAACGAGGAGGGATGCTGGAGAAGAATAGATAAAAGGGTAAATGAAGGCGCCGGTTCCGTTGCAGACCAAGAATGAGATCGGTTGGATGAAGTGCAGTGAGGGTATTGGTTCTATTGTTCACCATCCAACATCGAAAGGGAAGCAGAGTAATTTCCTGAATACATCACTGTACAATATCCCGTAAATTAATGGTTTGGTGTCCCGGTTTTAGTTTCAGTTGACGCAACCATTTACCATGCATTTTCATGCGCCCGTTTTGGTTGCTGTCTTTGTTCGCTCATTTGGATAAAAGAGCAGAATGGAGATTGGAATGTTCAGAGCAGAGTCAAAGGGAAGATAGCGAATTCATGTGACCTAAGGTTGCAAGGGTAATCAGTAGATGCACGAGCGCCACTGTTTACGACACTCAGCCATACCACTCAAAGCCTATACGACCGGTTAACACGATTTCGAGGTCCCCATCCAGGGAGTTCAAGTTACCTATATGATCCAGTCTCCTGGTTAGAGTACTCGCGTCATATTTTAGTTTGATCGCCCTTGATCTTTTTCCACCCACTACCTTCTTCGGCAAGCATCGCGCGCTGCAGTATGCGTAGCACATGTCCCAACCGGCGTAGTCTATGGAGGTCGACCACTTGCTCCAGTGGACGACCGCGATTACCTAACACTCTGCGCCTGGCCTCAGTATTGCTCGAATCGTCGCCCCACAAGACTCGTGCAATGCGGCGTAGACAGCAGTGTTCGAACACCGACCAGTTACTGTTATCCTGTTCCCGTAATGGCCAAGTGGTTAGTTGCTCACCCTCCTTTTGGTCTGGGTCCGGGTAGCGATTACACTGCATAGTGATGACAACACTGAGCCCATAATGACAAATTTATCACAATCGTGTGATACCCAACAGTAGTCGTAAGTGATATACTATGTCAAACAATAAAACAGGAACCAAAGGATAGAAAACTCTCTAATTCCACTAAAAAAAATTCAAGTCGACACATTTTACCTGAATGGCATCAAATCATTCGCCCGAACACCATGAATTGTTTTCTCTTAGTCACATATGAAGCTAACAACGGTGCAACGGAGTGTTTCAATGCTGTATCCACGGGGAAAACAGTGGTCTGTAAGCCGTTCATTCATTGCAATTTTTATCGAATGCCTGCATACAGCATTACGTTGTTTCGAAAATAGCCTCTTACCGCGTAGACATTTTCCACAAGTGTACCTAACGCGATGTTAACCAGAAAGAATCGAGCCCATCTTTTGTCTGCATAAACCGTACAAATAAGTGACCAATAAAACAAAATTATGCACGAAATGCTGATTCCCTCTATCGATGTTATTGTATTCGGTACACCTATACTATAGGCACTTAGAACGACGGTAAAAATGTGCGCCAACCAGGATCCAAACCCGGGTAGAAGAAATCGATCAAAAGTAAAAAGACCTAAATCATTGCATTAGGCAAACACCACAGCACTGTGTTTCGAATGGTGTACATCGAATGGAAGCAAATGAGTGTCAATAACTGATCAACTAATGTGACATTTGTACATGTTTAATTCTTTCATCGTTACTATTGACTGTTGTCAGTAGTCAA